GTCCGTCCGTCCGTCCGTCCGCGCCTCCTGCTCCGTCATGGCGGCCCTCAGCAAGTCCATTCCTCACAACTGCTACGAGGTCGGCCACACTTGGAACCCTTCCTGCCGGCTCTCCTTCCTGCAGATCACCTGGGCCGCCCTGGAGGAGTCCCTGAAGATCTACGCCCCGCTGTACCTGGTGAGACCCCGCCTGTGCCCGCGGCGCGCCGGCGGGGAGGCCGGGCCGGGCTGCGGCGCCCCTCGAGGGGCTCCGGGAAGGCGCCCGCTGCGGGCCGCGGCGAGCGGCTGGCGGGTCGGTCCCGGCGAGGTCCCCGCGCCGGCGCGAGGGAGCCGGCTGTCAGCCCCGCCGCCCGTGGCTGGAGGGGGGCAACTGGGGGGCTGCGTGGGGCGCCGCGGCCGGAGTCGGGGGCCCGGGCCCCTCTCGCGCGTTTGGAAGAGTTGGTAGGTCAGGGAGGCGCCGGGGTGGGCGCCAGCGGGTGACCTCCTAATCCGCGTGATGACTGCCTCTGTCCCAGTCTCTGTCTCTCTGTCTCTCTGTCTCTCTCTGTGTCTGTCTGTCTGTCTGTCTGTCTGTCTGTCTCTCTGTCTCTCTCATGTTTAACTCCGCGCCCCTTTGACCACAGCTCTTGCCTCAACGTGCAAGGTCAGGATTGTGACTTGAGGGTTTTCCAAATGTTTTTGCAAACTTTATGAAATAAGCTCCTGATTCGAAATTGTTCATGGTGATTAAATAGTGGTTCCAGCGTTTGAGCCAGCGAATGGGGTTTCAGATCTGGTGTAGGCATCACCTGGGTCATTTTATTATTCGTCTTTACATGTAGGGCAGTGAATGAGAATACCCAGAAATGTGTCTATGTACCCCTGACCTGAGGACTAGTAGAGAACCTCGTTCTGAACGTTCTTGCCAAAGTTTTTCTCCCAGAACCTCATCCTTAGTTTTAAAGATTCATTACTTGTCCCTGAACTTCATGGTCTCCTTTTATTGTCTGTAGAACCTGGGTTCTGAGAAGGCAAGTTTTGTTTTTGTGTGTATGTTTCTTAAAAGTTCCATTCAAAATTCAACGGATTCTTATTGAAATACTGGAAGTGTATTGTGGCTGTATCTGTAATATGACTTAAAATTTTTGATTAATTATTACAGAGCTAAAACAGAAGATACTTTCTTTGAGGTTGTGGGAGCCAGTTTCATTTTTATACTATAGAATGGTTTCTCAAACTTTAAAGCCTATTAGGAATCCCTTAGGGATCGTGTTAAAATGGGGGTTCTGAATCAGTGGGGGAGCAGGTGGGAGAGCAGAGGAACTGCATTTCTAACAGACTCCTGGGTAATGGTGACACAGGGACCACTCTTTCTAGGGTAGAGGTCAGTGTAGACTTATTGGAGTTGGACATAGCTTCCACGATTCTCTCTGGCAAATATTTATGTTTATGTTCTTTTCCTCATAAATTGTTCTGTTCTGATTTTGTTGTGTTGGTGACTGAACCCAGGGCCTGGGCATACTAAGCGAGTGTTGTATAACTGAACTGTATCTCCAATCCCAGATTTCTTTTTAATTATATATTTATGCACGTTGAGCTCTGTATATATTCAGCTGTACAAAAGACTGTTCCTGGGCTAGGAATGTAGCTCAATGGTAGAGTGCTTTCCTAGAGCGAAGAAAAGGATACTTTTGTTGGCCTCAGAGGGCTATGAAGGAGGGGAGAAGAGTTTATGCTGTGTAACTTTTCCCTCTGAAAAACTTGTTCTTTCCTTTATTTGACAAATGTTTGTTGAATGCCTGATTTTTCTTCTGTCCACAGCCTAGAAAATTTTATTAATTATATATTATGGTACAGAAGTAAGTTCAGGGGAGCAACAGAATGTGGATTCTCCCACTTCTGCCAGGTGGTGAGGGGGTAGGAAAAGAGTTGTATTTTACTATTATAAACTCCAACTAGGTTAAATACTTCTTGAGGGTAACTTTTTCAGCTCATGTCATCTTGTGTCTTTTATAGCTGAGTGTTTTACATTTTGTGTTGCTGTTGCTCAGTGGTTGTGGACTGCACTCAGTAGGAACTTACTAGCATCTTATTTTAAGTGAAATAGAAGAGGTTAGAAGGCATTAAAGCACATTGAAGTTACTCTGGGTAAGTGTTACTTCATGACAGTTTTGTTTTATACTAAACAAGTTCTTTGTCACTTCCATGTGTATATGGATGGGGCCACTAGTGCATATAGCAGCATATGGCCTTTGTAAGTTTTGGGTAATTGTTGATTAAATGTGTGTTTCCGTGTGTCAAGCAAGATTCAGGGTGATAGGATGGAAAACATTGAGCTTTTATTTATTTATTTATTTTTATTTTAAATTTTTTGTATTTTAGGGAAGGGTCTACAGGGTGTTCAGGGTCTCACTACTAGTTTGGACTTGTAGGGATCCGCCTGTTTACAGCCTCCCAAGAGCTGGGGTTACAGGTGTGTGCCACCATGTCCAGTCTCAGTTGTCATCTCAGCGTGCCCTGGGAGTGGGCCGGCACAGCAGGTCCAGTGATCGAACCCCTGACCTCTGTGCCTGCTTGCAGGTGCTTTAGTCTGCTGAGCTAATTGGCTGGCCCAAGTTGAGCATTTATCATTTATCACCTGTTTGTTTGACTTCATGCATATTACTTTATTTTTCTCTGTGAGAATGAAGTGAAATAAAATAATTCCCTGAAGATATATTGTATTTTCTAGTTCATAACAGCCCTTGAACATTTGTAGTTTTTCTTCCTCCCCTTCCCAAAGAGGCCTTGAGGAGTAAAGTTCATTGAACGTGACAGGGGAAAAATTCTTGGAAAGAGGACTTTGCTTTGAAGATAAAGATGGACAGATATTGATTCTTGTAGCAGCTATTTATAGAGTGTTTATTAGTAGTGCAATGGTAGTAATGAGAATTGAAGTAGAAATCTGTAGTTTTTATGAGAGAAGCAAGGAATAAATTGTCTAAAGCAAGGTTTTTATGTGGAAGTTATGAATAACTTGTTTAGTATGTTTAATCCTTTGCATCTTTTTTCTTGTTTAATTCTTGTACAATTTCAGCTTATTATCCCCATTTCATAGGTAAGAAAACTGAAGGTTCACCAAAACTGGGCATGGTGGTGCATACCTATAATGCCAGCTCTGGGGAGGCTGAGACAGGAGGATCATTATGAGTTCAGGCTGTGTAGTGAGACCCTATACCAAATAAATAAATGATTAAAACAATAAAAAAAAAAAGAAAACTAAAGGTTAAAGAAAGTAAGAGATTAGTAAGATTTAATGCTAGGAAGGAAAAATCAGAATTCTGCTTTTTTTTTTTTTTTTGGACACAAAGTCAAACTGAAAATCAGGCAAAAGAAACAAAGGACTCTTGAGTCTAGGAGTTTCAAGTACGAATAGTAAGTAATGTGATGAATCTGGAAGCCCTGGATAGAGTGGATTGGAAGACTGCTTGGGAGTTAGTGCACAGATTGACCAAGTGGTGGAAAGAGTCAGAGCGCCTGTGAAAGTCTGTCTGGCATCTACTGTGAGTGTGATGTTCAGGAAATTACTTCATCTTTTTATGCCTTGGACTCCTTGCTTTGCAAGATAATCGTGTTGACTTAAACAGGATAACAAATGTGTAAGAACAGCTGAAGACACGTAATGGGCCTAATAAAGTGGTTGTCGTTGCAACATTGCACTAATGCGATCAGTGTCTCCGCCTTCCCTTAGAGCAGCAGATTCGATGAGCGCACGAGTGCAGCAGGTACAACAAATGCATGAGCTCACGCATAGTGCGGGAGTGAGAAATACTTTAGTGGTCTGCCAGGCAAGTGAAAGGGCAGGTCTGTAGGCATTTCACAGGAAGAATGACTGGAATATGGAGGCATCCTGGGGATTGAACTCAGGCTCTTGTGCTTGCCAGACAAGTGCTTATTCTACTGAGCCATCTCCCCGGCCCCATATGTATGGTTTTAAAAAACTGTTCCTGTGTTTTGTATTATACACTAACAGTTATACATGTATTTATTTATTGGATGTTAGTTACTGCCACATAGTCAAAGTAAGTGGGACTCTTTAGTATGCATTTATGCAAGAAACAGTTGTTAAACCGTTTAAACCTTGGAGTGCCAGTAAAATTGAGAAGTTTGTTGTTTGTCCTTGGCTTTTGTGGCCAAGTTTTGAATACCCGGTTGTCCATTTAGGAAGTGTGAACTCTGTGCTTTCAGATACTTGGGCATCTTCCCTAGGAAGGAAAATGAGCCTGCTAACTTTAGATGTAAAACCTTTCTCGGGGTCATTTTCCGTGGAACTTCCACATTGGGTACTAGCATTTATTCTTAGCAGAGTCCAAAATATCTAAAATATTTGCACTTTGGGGAATGAATGGTTAAAAGACTTGAGTTTTCATCCATCTTTAGATTTGTAGGTTCTTCTTCATAGTATGAACATTTCTATTCCATATATGCTCCCTTTGAGGCATACAATTTAATCAATATGTAGTTATAATCTAACAAATCTATTATACTTTGTCAGATTATAAAGAATATGTTAATCATCTCTAAGTCTAGGATTAACATTTAAGTCAGAGTTAAAATTCCTAGAAATCAAAAAAACAATTTATGGACATTCTGTAGTACTTGCCAAAGCTTGAAAACCACTAATTCTAAATAAATAAGTTCAGTGGTATGGGCTAAGTACTTTTGGATACTGGTTTAGCAGGTTTTCTAGAAATAAACAGCCCAGCTATGAGACTGGGTTTTTTGGCAGTTGGCATTTGTTTATGTTTTGTTGTTGTTGTTTGAAAAATAATGTGAGAGACACCAGTGTCCCTGAGTAATGCAGACTACTGAGATGATGTCTCGGGTACCTGAGTTCTGCGAGGCCATGGAATGCGGATCTGTGATGGCACTTAGGGTTCTGCTGAGGCCTGGCTTACTCTTCTCAAGGAGCGGCTGGCTTCGTCTTTGTATTCCATAAGCAAATCATGATTTTTGCTTGATTTGTTATCCCCTTGGAGTTGGAACAAAATCATTTGTTCTTTTTTCTTTTAAATGGGAAATAAAGTGTTTAGTTTTCCTATACACTTACATGCCATTTTGAGTTTGTTGAGCTCATTTTTTCATTTGTGACTTCTTGTTGTTCTTTGGCTGTTTTCTGCTGAGTGCAAAGTACAGCTTCCAGCACATCACTTCCAATCG